ACACCATTGTCCCGGCGATACATGTTACGTTTTCTTGGGAATCATATTCCCGAGGTTTGAGGACGGAACCGGGGATGTGCAGGATAGAAGAAAGGGACAAACCATTCCCAAACTTTCCCTCCAGAACCCCACCCCCAGCCGAAGAAGAAAAGAAAAAAAAACCCCGAAAGCTCCAATTCACCCTCCACCAACACAACCCAGCCCCAAAGTCATCACGGGCAACTCAGCCCAGTCCGATTCCGCAAAAAGTAGCGGTGCGAACGACCCCGTCAACCAACCACGGTGATGCTCCCTTGCAAACTCACCATCAAGCCAACCCCCCCAAATTTCCCAACACGAGGACCGACCGAACTTGAAACCATCCTCGAGTGACGACCCATGACCATCGACCAAGTGCTTATTTAAGCTTCCTCTGGAACCGGGATCCGGCTCATCCACCCGCGCCATCACCGGCCAGCTCAGCAAGTCCGTCCATAAGTCTAGTCTAATGCACCGCGAGCAGTGCTAGTGCAAGTACAGTACTCGAGTAGACTACACGCGTATTAAATTTACACCAGTATCCCGTGAAGATCCTAAGCGTACTCGTATTATACCGCCATCGCCACCCAAATGCCACCCATAGCCATCCACAAACACACGCTCACTCCGACCACCCCGAACCCTGCGCCACAAGCACACCACATGTATATCCCCACTCGCACCATTCCCATTTCCATTCCGAATTTAGGCTCCCAACGGACACACCGCATCAGCGACATTGCTGCAATGCACCTCAAACCGGAGAAAAGCCCGATGGAACCCGACGAGGACGACGACGACGACGACGACGATCATCGCGAGTGATGGGATGTGGCTGTGGGTTGAGGAATGAAAAGAAAGAAAAAAAAAAGGAGAAGACAAAAAAAAAAAAATCCGATGCTACGGTAAAGCATATCTTGGTCTACTTTTGACTTGTAGCATCTTACAATTCTACGTTACTCGAAACCAGCGGCACAATGTATTCAAAGCAGCGCGACAGAAAGAAGAAAAGAAAAGAAAAGAAAAAAAACTCACCATTCCATCCAATTCCGTTTCGTGGCAGACAAGTACCGTGCTCATAGTAGTATTGTAGTATTGTAGTAGTAGTAGTAGTAGTAGTAGTAGTAGTTCACGGTAAGTCCTGATGGCACTGTACAGTACCTGCATTATTCCCTCCCCCTCTCGCTCTCTCTTGACTTTCTTGTCCGGCACTTGGGGAGGGGAGGGGAGGGGGGGTGGAAAAGGAGAAAATATCGTGGTGCATACGACGATAACATGGTTTCGCGTTGATGGGTGGATGATACAACTGATAGCGTGCGTTAACTCACGTATGTATGCAATAGCAACGGTTTTTGGTGGTTGTTGCTTCTGCGATTTATTTCATTTCATTTCATTTCGTGCTCGCGGGTAACGTGAGGGAGTGTGAAGGTTCGTGGTGCGTCGGTAGTTGTGTTCTTGTCTGACGGTGCGAGTGCGATTGTTTAGAGCACTGTGCCGGGCTCGAGTATGATACTTGGTGAAAGTGTGGAGAGGGGGAATTAGTAAGGATGGGTGGAGGGTGACTTATCATACTCGTGTAGGTTGCGACCGTAGAGTAAAATTATTATCTCGTCTTCTCAGCATGTTAAAAATAATAATAATAATAATAATAATAATAATTCAACAATTAAGGTAATATTAATAGTTTGGCAAACTAACAGCTTTTTACAATGCTAAGGTACGGTACTGTTGTATGATAGCACTCGAGGTATCAGAGCTTATGGCGCCAGAAGCCGTGGAAGGGGAAGTGTGTAACCCCCCCCCTTCCCTCCACTTCAATCTTTTTAGTTGGCAGAAGGTACCGATAGGTCTAGTCAACTACCGGTGGGACTTTGTTTGCTGTTTTGAAATTTGGAACCATGATGGATTCAACGTTTGTGGGCAAGCCACTATGTGGCCAGGGGGTTGCGCACTTCCCCCTACCGTATCTCTTCTGTCACCATACCGGTGCTCGAGTACTAATACACTAAAGTAGAAGAATAGGTAGATAAGATACCGTACTTTTGGTGCTAACTGGGACAAAAAAAAAAAAAAAAAAAAAAAAGGAGAGACCTTTGAGTAGACCATGTTCCCAGCCACATAAATGAGTGAATGAACGATAGTTTAACCAGTGGCCTATGATACTCTGCACCACAACGGGGTGGATCCTGCGTTGAAACCTCCATCCCTCTCTCCCTTCACTCCTTGCCGGATAAGGTTTCGACTTTTCGAGGAGGCTCTCAGCGCCACATGGGGCTAGGAATTACAGCAGCAACTCAGGTTGGCTGTTATGCTCTCTTGACAGGGGCACGATGAAACTCGGTGGATGACGAATAGATGTAATTTGGTGGGCGGAAAAGTGAATTCGTTAGAGTACGAGTACGGTAGGGAAATAAGAAATAAAAATGCCTGTTACTGATCCTTGTTCGTCGCCCGCCCGTTTTCCCTGTGTCCCCATTGAAGACTGGGTTACGAACCTTGAAAAGCCCTCCTTGAAAAGCCCTCAAAGTTCTAAATTTGTTTCCTGCTGTTTCATTCTTCGTGGCGGCTAGCTCACTGTGTCGATTCTAAAAGATGTGACTTCGGATCACTGTACCTCGAGTATCAGAGCTCACGGCAACCGCCTCTGTTTGGCTTTGCCGGGTAACGGGGGATTGCGGGCGGGCCGTAGCTTTGACTTGTTATGGCTTACTGCTGCTCACGCACAGTGCGAGCAGTGCGCATGCCATTACCGCTCCTGTCCTGCTTTTCTTGCGCTTGGCGGATATCATAGCAGGGGCCACTTGAACATACTAGTACTGTACCATGGCTCTCCCCATTCGTTTACCGGGCTTGATACTGTAGGTCAGGAACAGAACTTCTCAATCCTCAAAAAGTGCTACCGGTACTCGAGTATATGGGCTCCAGCTCTGTACTTGTACTATATTCGAGCACAAACCCCCCCCTCTTTCCCAGTTGAACCCACTCAGCCAAACAATCACGGCGTTGAAAGAATTGTGTCGACCCGAGCAAGTTCCATCAGAGCAGTAGTGGTACTGTAACTCCTAACTCACCTTATGATACAGCACTGGAGTACAATACCGGTATGAACAGTATCGCGGTCGAGCCTTTTACCGGCATTTATGTGAAATCCCAGGCTACGGGATTTTATGCATGATACCGGCACTCTCACTCTAATTTCCCATACTCCATCACAGCAACATGGTTCTCATGCGGGCTAAACTCTGTTGGAAGTACCGCACTCCAAGTAGTTAGTAAACTCTTCCTTTCCTCCTTTCCTCCTTCCTTCCTTCCTTCCTTCTTTCCTTCCTTCTTCCTTCTTCCTTCTTCTTCCTTTCTCTCCCTCGTACAGTTGCAAGTGCAAGTACTAGTACAGTATGCACATCTGCAAGCTGCACAATGACAAGGTTGAGGAGTGAAATTTCCGTCTTTTTTGTTCTTCCCCTTTCCCTTTTGCTGGCGTAGGGCATCTTGACGGGTACAATACTGTAATATTGAATAAAGGTTTAGAGAAAAAAGGATTTCGTACCCGTTGTATCGTGACATGTGCTGCAGGATGGAGTGAAAGGGGACATGGTTGTCTATTTGTTCGTTCATTCGTCTGTGGATGTGCGATTTTTCGCGTTCTGGAAGTTTGTATCCCCCTCCCCCCTTTTTTTTATTTTGGCTCTTCTTCCCCACATGCCACGGTGTGATCGGTTTCGTGTTTAGTTGTCGTTCTCCTTGTCCCTTCAATATCCCTCCTGTCTGCTGTTTGAACAGCGCAGCGGGAGGCAGGGAGGGAGATTTGATAAATGGACCAGACTGGGCTGTTCCGGTGGACCGGGGTTGAGGATTGTTGCTGTTGGCTTAACAGCAGCCATTTTATAGAACTTTGCTGTGGCTCTCCTGCAGAGCCGGGGTGGGTCATCGGATTCCTTCGCTAACTATTTACTGAGTAAACCCATGTGTTTCGCTGGCAGAGGCTGATAATTTTCCTTCTAACCCTTTTCTCTACCCTTTCTTCTACTTCTCGTTTTCATTAAATGTTTCTAGAATGGATGTTTTGCCCATGAAATGGTTTTTTTTTTTTTTTTCGAGTTTGGAACTTCGTGCTCGACAAACTTGGTTTATCCCCCCCCTGTCATTCTTGGAGGGAAAAGGAAAGCTAAGACGGAGCCCCCCAATTCATCCACTGCGGTAGCGGAAACACAAGGGGTGATCGAGTGATGCTAGAAAGTCATTCAAATTACAACAGAAATTTCACCTACTACACAATACTCAAACAATGGACTGTAAAACATCGCGTAGAAGAGTGGTAACGAGGTGTGAAGGAACAACAAGAGGGGAGAAGAGAAAAGGCAAAAAAAAGTAAAGAAAAGTAAGCCACAATTTCACTATGTTCCGTGGCCTTTGGAGTTGCTTCTCCATCTTGTTTTCTCGCTGCTACTCTAGTAGCTGTCGGAGCGGTAAACTCTAGAAGCGTCATAGAAGGAGAAACACCAGAAAAAGAGAGACAGAATTCACAATAAGCCTACCGCAAACTCAGACGATCCAACGGCAGCTCCGCAAGAAGGACAGAAAACGGCTGCCATTTTCTAATTTCACCATCAGACGATCCCAGTTCAGCCGAAATCTGCTAACTCTCACCCAAAATACAAAATAATCAGTCCTATCCACCCCCCCCCCATTCCATCAATCGTCTCACGGCTTTGAATTCACTTGCTACCGCTAACTCACCCCCCCCCCCTTCTCTGCACCCCACCGCTAATCTCGACCGCCTCCACCCTGCCTGTTCCAATCCTTCGCCAGCCAGAAGCCCGCCTGCAATTTATTCCGCAATCAGCTTGTCCCCCCCCACCCCATCGCCCAATACTTGGTGCAAGCATCAGAATTCAGTGAGGGAAATCAGTAGTCCATCCCGTAATAAGCACACCTTTTGCCGGGATACGGTATTGAGCTCTCTTTGGCTCTGTTGACTAACAATGGACTCGGCAAGCGCCTCGAACCGTTCAGAAAACAAACCTCACGGTCGACGTCTCACTAAGAATCCCCCATCAACCAGGGCGCCGCATTTTGTATCACCAGGCCTTCCCTCCGCAAAATCGTGGTCTTCCGGATCGATCCAGAGGGCCCCGTCGGCTCCTGTCCTCCCTAGATCAGCACATGGGAAGACGACTGGAGGACACCAGCGAACTCCCACATCTCCCAATCCGCTGGCCTTTTCATCCTCCTCTTCCTCGTTGGAGCAAACAAACCCCTCACCACAGCTTAAACAAGACGGGTTCCGACAGCAGGGGCAATCCGACCTACCAATACACCACTTCAATCAACTTGGGGTAAGCTCGCGACCCGTCTCAGGGAGGCTCTCTGAGGAATCGACATCTGGGGGTTCCGGGTTTGAAACCTCATCCAGAAGGAACACACTACGACGACCACCTCCACCTCCACTTGCCCACACCAATACCAGTGAAATGACAACCGCACCCTCCAGGCCACAATTACGACAATCAAACAGCTTCACGATGGGTGAACGTACTACTTCCCCACCCAACCCGCCAAAGTCCTACACCACAGGCTCCGGCGGCGCTTTGAGCCCCAAGCGCAATTCGGATGAAGTCAGAACACAGGCTCCGCCAAGTGCAAAGTCAAAGACCGGTTTCTCAAAATTTATGAATAGTATGTTGGGTTCGCCAAAGAGGGTCGAGATATCGAATCCCTCCGATCCAGTCCATCTGACCCATGTCGGCTTTAATTTTGTCACTGGGGAGTTTACAGTACGCAATCCCTCCAGAGCTTGGATTCTTCCCTTCCATCCACACCTCCCAGTGTTTTCTCACATTTACTCTTGCGTATAGGGACTACCGAAGGAATGGCAGCGGGTGTTACAGGAGAGCGGCATAACGAAGAAGGAGCAGGAACAGCATCCTCAGGCTGTGATGGACATTGTGGCATTTTACAGTGACGTCAGCGGTGGGAAGGCGGATGATGGTGTTTGGAAGAAGATTCCCCAGCAGGATTCGCATGCACTTGGCCTGCCCGGGCAGACGACGCCCGGGCCATCTCCTCTGGTCAGCCCTCCGTTAATGAGTCCTCCTATTAGTCCCCGATTCCCACCAAACCATGAGCACAGCTTTGAGAACCCCCGTGCCCCTCCTCCGATTCCGGCAGGTCAGAAGTCCCGCACTGGTCCCCTTTCCCCAGGACTTCCCCGGGATGGAACCGGTAATACACTTGTCCCCACACGTCCGGCGCCGCGTCCCCCGGCTTCTCCACCTAGGGAACTGGGACATATCAACCCCTACTTTCCAAGGGCAGCCCAACCCGCCCCTCCGCCTCCCCAACCTTCGTATCAAGTGTCTCCCATCGAACAATTACAGCAGGATACTTATCAGCCGCACGAGGAGACTCGGGTGGCACCCGCACCGGCCTCGGTCACTGTTCACCAGAGTCCAAGGATACCTAGAGAGCCATCGCCTCCGAGGTCAAATGATCCCTTCAGAAACGGGCCCTACGAACCCAACGGTTCTCACGCTACTTCTAAGGTGAAGCATTCGCCCGCGCTACAACAAACTCACTTTCAGCAACCCGCGATCCAGCATCAGAATGCTTCCCCAACCATTCAACAGGGTCCTACTCGTGCTCCCACGGCTAACTCCGGTCAAGTTGTTCAAGCTCAAGCGCCCCCTAGTGGAAATGTTGGACCTGTCCCTGTGCAGAGACGTCAACAACACAGGAAGCAGCCCAGCAAGGATATCGACATTGTGACTCGTTTGAACGCCATCTGTACCGGTGGTGACCCTACCAAACTCTACCGTAGCCTGAATAAGATTGGACAAGGAGCATCTGGTGGCGTATACACGGCCTATCAAGTTGGTTCAAACCGGTCTGTTGCTATCAAACAGATGAATCTTGAGCAGCAACCCAAAAAGGATCTCATTATCAATGAGATTCTTGTCATGAAGGACAGCAAACACAAGAACATCGTTAATTTCATGGACAGTTTCTTGCATAGAGGCGATCTTTGGGTTGTGATGGAGTACATGGAAGGTGGAAGTTTGACCGATGTGGTTACCTTCAATATCATGACGGAAGGCCAGATTGCTGCAGTTTGTCGTGAGGTTGGTAACCTGTGTTTGAATCCACAGATGTTTCCGATGCTAATTGCTCGTAGACTTTGCAAGGGTTGCAGCATCTTCACTCGAAAGGCGTAATCCATAGAGATATTAAGTCTGATAACATCCTCCTGTCACTTGAGGGCCACATCAAATTGAGTGAGTGGATTTAGCTGGTCGTTCCGGTAAGATTTCTAATAGCTAACCCAATTCGAAATAATAGCCGACTTTGGTTTTTGCGCACAGATAAATGAAGCCATGATGAAACGTACTACAATGGTTGGCACACCGTACTGGATGGCGCCTGAGGTTGTCACTAGGAAGGAGTATGGACGTAAGGTTGACATCTGGAGTTTGGGGATTATGGCGATCGAGATGATCGAGGGTGAGCCACCATACTTGACAGAATCGCCTTTGCGTGCGTTGTACTTGATCGCGACAAACGGTACTCCTAGGCTCAAGGAACCAGATCAATTGTCGGTGGAGCTCAAGGACTTTTTACATTCTGCGTTGGAAGTCAGCCCAGATCGTAGGGCTTCTGCTGGAGAACTCCTTCAGGCATGTTATAATGATTCTAGCATTGCTTTTTTATTCCAATGTAGCTGACGAATATACATAGCATTCGTTCCTTCAAACTGCGGATCCGTTGTCCAGTTTAGCGCCTCTTGTTAAGGCTGCGCGTCAAGCTAGAGCGCAAGAACGACAGAGGGGCTGAACGATGTACCGCGATTTATCCTATGAGCTCATTTTCGACGGCGTCAGGCGGATTGTATGCAGAAAAAAATAATCAAAAAAAAAAAAAAAAGTGTTATTAGCGAAGGGAACTGTTTAGCTGGTTGGTTGGCTGGCCTGTTATGGTTGGATATTTGGGTATTTTTTTTTACATAGAAGACGGGTGGAATTATTTGACGGGGGTGGTGGGTAATTCGGTTTCATCTTTTATGATATTTGTACTCCGAGGCTTTTTTTTCCCCTCTCGTCCTCCATTCTGTTTCTTCTCTATCTTCTGACTTGTTTGGGGGGAATTGTTTCAAGGTCATGCTACTCTCCATTTTTTTCTTCTTTTCCCCCCTCTTTCTTCTTTCTCCCTCGCGAGCGATACTGGCACCCCTTGACATTCTCATTGTGCGTATCTGTTGGAGACTTTCATTCTACACCTTTTTTAACCTTTACAGTAACGTTGTGGATATCATACGCGTTGATTACGATAAATATCGTAATGTAAAATGGGATAACCACTTTCACGTTACGTGCGGGCAACTGGACCGAATGAAGGATTTTGGTGATAATTTGTGATTTCCTCCAATAAATACCCTCACCACTACACTTGCTGTACTCGTACAAGTACTCGAGCATCTGCCGGTACCGGTATTGCACGGCATTCGGGGCTGCGTTAGCCTGGATCGTGGATCGTTTGTTGCAATGAAAGGTGCCAAGACGTAATCTCCTTGATATTGGAATGCTGATATCCTATCTGATGGTCATAGTATGTCACTCGATGTATGATTATAGGAGATGAGCTTATTTTCGTGGGGCTGGTGGTTTATTTCGAAATATCGCATCGTACCTTTTGGGCTCTGGACCTTGTGTGCTTGGGAAGAGCTGCGGTGTTGGTTGTGGTTTGGTGCATCCAAATCTGGTGACACGAGCATCGCGGTGTGTGTATCGTGCAAGCACCGTGTCTGATAACGTGACCGAATACGATACCGGTGCTTTGTGGGTGCTCCCGAGTTCGATAAACTTGAATTTTTTTTTTTTCCTATTTAGGGCCCAGTATGATAGTTTCTCATCTGTCGGAACAAGGTACTTGTATGATAAATAATTTACTGCCAATGGAACGCGTATGCTGTGTCACAATAGTGCCGTCGGGAGGAGAAAAAAGTATTTATTTTCTATACAATCATACCCGATATGGAAAGAAAATCGCAGATGCTTATTCCCGCTGACTCATAACCCCTCCCCGCAGGCCCCGCGCGGCGTTTCGCCTCCACAGCCACCTACTGACGCTGGGGCATTACGCAGACAAGTTCCATCCATTTCACTTGCCCACCACCACCATCAACTGTGCACCACGTCTCTCCTTCCAACATACGGGGAACGAGAAACTCTTACAAGAGAGGGAAAGAGAGAAAAAAGAACCTTATAACGAGCCAAACTGAACCCGCTGTTTGGGAGTTTTCTTCCTACTGCTAATCTAACAGTTCTTTTGCGCAGAGGGAGATCATGTTTCGAGCGCAGCAGAATGAGTTTGACGATGTCGTCGGTAAGGAAAGATTCTTTCTTGCTTTGATTGTGCGATGGCTCGGTGTATCTTGTGAATACGTATGCTCATGGGTATTATTTTTGTGGCAACATAGCTAAGGCGACCGACGAGACTTTGACCTCGGAAAACTGGGGGTATATGATGGACGCTTGGGAGAAGATTAATGATTCTGGAGAGAATGGGTAAACTTCTTTGTTCATCCGTAAATTTTTTTTTTTTTAAATTCTCGCTTGCTGATTGATTGTGACCTTTGTTTGCAGGCCCAAGAATTCTGTCGCGGCATTGATAAAGAGACTCGCTCATCGGAATGCTGATGTTCAACTTTATACACTTGAGGTGGGACTGTTCGTATCTGTTATTGGAGGTTGTCGTTTGCGGAAATATGTGGGCTAATTATTTATCTCTCTTGAGAGAGGTTGTATTAGCTCGCCAACGCTTTTTCTCAAAATTGTGGTCCCAAGATGCACCGGGAACTTGCATCAAGGTCGTTCACCGAGGCGCTGTTACGGCTTGCTGGTGATCGGGTGCGTTTCGTTCCATTCTGAAATCGGTGGGGGAGTACGGTTTGCTGATAGTGCTTCTTCTTTCCTCCGATAGAATACTCACCAAAAGGTCAAGACGAAGATTCTGGAGCGAATGGCGGAGTGGTCGGAGATGTTTTCGAAGGAGCCAGATCTTGGCATTATGGACCAAGCTTATAACAAACTTAAATCTCAGAGTAGGAAGATTTACTAGAGCTTTATTTGGATAAACTTAGAGCTAACGTTCGACAGATCCTACTATCCAAGCGCCATCAAAGCCGCACAAGAAAGAAATTACTGATGTTGACAGGCAAAAGGAGGAGGAGGAGCTTCAAATGGCGCTGGCTATATCGTTAAAAGATCGGACTGCACAAGGGGTAGCTGCTGCGAAGGCCACTCAACAACCCGCTGGCTCTGGTCAGCCGTCTCAAGCTCAAGGCCAAGCTGGGCCTTCGCAGGTAGCGCCGCATACCACGGCTGCTACTGTCTCGCGAGTCCGTGCTCTCTTCGATTTCGTTCCTTCTGAAGCTGGAGAGCTTGCTTTTAGGAAAGGCGATATTATCGCCGTGCTCGAGTCTGTCTACAAGGATTGGTGGAAGGGCTCTTTACGAGGCCAGACCGGAATTTTCCCGTTAAACTATGTTGAGAAATTATCGGATCCTACTCCTGAAGAAGTTCAAAGGGAGGCGCAGATGGAGGCAGAGGTTTTCGCTGAGATTAAGAATGTGGAGAAGCTGCTAGCTCTATTGAGTACTACCAGTGTAGATACCAATGTTCAGGATAATGAGGAGATTACGGTATGCACTTTTACAAAGTCATCAGGTTATCTTCGCGCTAATTGGATTAGACCTTGTATCACCAGACGCTTGCTATTCGCCCAAAGCTTATCGAACTTATCGGAAAGTACTCGCAGAAGAAAGGTATTGTGAAGTGTTTGCTTTTTCCTGATTGACCAGGGTTGTTGACCATGGTTTCAGATGACTTTATGTCCTTGAACGAGAAGTTTATCAAGGCTAGGAAGGATTACGAATCTCTGCTGGAGACATCTATGGCCCAACCAGCTTCTCACTATGGTCGGCCAAATCAAAGTCCATACAACTACGGAGGCGATGCCTATCCGACCGGTGGTGGAGAGCCTGGTAGGTATTACACGCCTGCTCCCCAACATAATGCCGCATCTCCATCCAATGCCCATCCCACTTTCGCCCCACCCCAACAGAAGCCTACGGGAGCTCCATATCCGGGAGGACGTCGCACAAGTAATACCTTTTACCCTCCACAAGGCGATAGCCTTGACAATCCATCCCATGCAGGAGGCGCACCATTTTATGTTGTTGGGCAGGCTCCACCTGGTACACAGCTGCCCGGTCGTCAGGGTCCTTCTAGCCCATCTATGCCCTCTGCGGACTTTCATCCTCAGAGGCCCCACCCTAGCCATACGCCTTCAGGGTCCGGTGCACCTCCAACGGATGGCCCGTCCCAGCCTCAAGAATTGGCAACCTCGGCATATGATTCACCCATGGAGAGTCGACCACCGGGTGGAGGTTTCAACCCGCAGCCATCCAAATTACAGTCTACGGATAGACCACACTCTCCAAAGGCCCCTGGCCAACCCTCGTACACCGGCTATCATTACCAACCCCAATCAAGGCCTCTATCGGCCGGTACGAATTCTAACCAACCGTACCCAGAGTCCAGTGGGCCGCCGTCCGTATACCCAAGCCAGCCATACCCGTCTCTTACCCCTCAGTCCACTACTCCAGGAGGAACTAGCAACCCTTCGACGCCGTACAATACCTATAGCTCCCCTGCAGTCGGTGCTCCACCCCAACCGTATTACTCCCAGGAAGCCCCACCCCAAACTCATACCTCTCCAGACCCACAGACGGGAGCTCACGATTACTATAGGAACAACAATGAACTATTCCTACCACCGGGAAGCAGGGCTCAGAGTTAGTTGGTTGGATCGTCCAGTATTTATCTGGTCGATTAGTTAGTTAGTCGTCTAGTTTTACCGTGTTCCAATTAGTCTGTAATATCGGCGTTCGTGCGCTGTCTGTCTGTCTGTCTGTCTTGTCTGTCTCTTCTGTTTGAAAAGAACTGGAACTGGGAGTGATTACTTTGTAGTAGCCGCAGGGATTGGCTTTGACTGGATTGATGGGATGGCATATGGTAGGCGAATAGAGATAGGGCTTTTTTGATTTTTCTTTTTGATTTTTCTTTTACTTTTTTTCCTTCTCCATCGATTTTCTTGAGTGCTCTGGCTGCTTTGTTTGTTTGTCTGGACGATGGACGATTCGGTTTGAAAAAGGCGATTTTACTCGTTCATTTATTTTCAATTTCATAAAATCATTTGATCTCATTCAAGCTGCGGTACTGTTTTTGAGGGGTGCTGAGTCATACTTCGGATTTGCTTGAGGTATAATAGTGATACTGGTACAGTACATGATTGGCCGCGAAATGGATCCTTCTCTCCTGAATAATATGACATGTGTGTGGGGAAGCTGTATGCAGGGCTATGATTATGCGGTTGCCCTGAACGCTGGTGAGGGATAAGGTACCATACGTATAATACTTGTACCTGTATTGTCACTCCCAGGAGAAGCAAAGTCATTGAACTCGCCTCACCTTATCCGGCAAGTGACGTCTCATCCAGTATTTTACTATTCGAGATGCTGAGAAGGGTTGCTTTCTGCAGTGAAGCTTTTCTTTGTCTAGTCCTTTGTGATCACCATAGTAGAAGCTTATAATAGTACTTGTATTACTCATTACCGCGCTGCCAGGCGCTGGTTCTTAGTATAATATAATACCACGATGTGGTATCCTTTCGTCTGTCTTTGCGTTCCACACATCTTTAGCGCGGAAGACGGAGATTTCAGTAAGGAGGTTTGGCGGGGAAGGGCCGTGGCACCTAGCCATCGCCTGCCCAATAAATCCTCGAAGATGGTCCGCCACGGTAGCAGTGGGTATTTAGGTTGTTTTCCCACTTAGTATAGAGCATTGTGTCCTTTGCGTTCTACAGGTCGGCAACGGCGCTGGGTTGGGTGCCTTAAAATGAATGGAGGGAGGTATTGCACATGGTACGATAGGGGAATACTTGTAGACCCATGATTTTACAGTGTTTTTTTCTACGGGTGGATGGTGTCGGACCTCTAATTAGATCCCGAGTGATGCGACTTGACTCATCGGGGGGGGGGGTGAAACACTGCTGATAGGCCCTCCTGGTTGTTTTTTATTTCTATTTCATTTGGGCCTGAATCCTTGAATACCCCCTCTTGGCTCGGGACACTATCTCCTCTTCATGGATGTGTCCGAGACATTTTTGTCCGTCCGTCTGCCTATGCAAAGGGGCATACATAGATACAGTCCTCCGTGTACTCTCTCTCTCTTTCCCTCATCTTTTTGGGATGTTTTCTGGCAACCTCTGGGAGGATAGGCGTGGAAGCAAGCTCCGAGTTCGTGGGTTAACTATGTGCCTTTCTTTGTGCTTGTATATGGATTTCTCAAGATTGACTGGTGGCTAACATGGAATCGCTACATCACTGCAAGGCCGAAGGGCAGACAGCAGAGGGGATGTGATGAGCGCCCACACCCCATCAAGTGCCTGTGCCCCCATGACGAGAGCCTCCGGGCCACTCCATGATACCGCCTGAGAAAGTACATGCGTGGTGCGGTGCGCCTGCAAACGCTGTTTGGGCTCTATTCAACCAAGACGTTGACCCGGTCTGAGGTATATCCTCCATTCAATCCACCGACCGCATGGCCATTTCTTCTCTCCGCGCACCACTTACATCATATACACTCCGACTGAGTCCTTTCTCCCGAGAATTTATTCCACGTGATGGAAAACGAAAATAGCAGTTTGTTTTTCTCCATTAACCTTCAACCTTCAATTCACTACTGCTACGTGCAGGTTTTACTACCATTGCAGGTTTAATTCTCCGATAATTATCACTGAAGGCCCTGAACTACCTACCCAATTCAGTCACTAACCTAAAAATACCTTCTACAGAGCAAGCATGCACTGCTTAGCTAACTAGATTGACTGGTAAGCACGAGTAACTCACGGCCCACTCTTCTTCGGCCACCCCAAGGACAACATGCATTCTGCGAAGAGGTCAAGATTGTTTCTGGGGTGACTGTGAAAGACGCTTGGGCAGGGTTACTGCGAATTGGTGCAACTAAAGGGGGGATGTCTGGATATAGGTGCGAGGTTGGCGGAGTCTGCGGTTTGGTTGCGCCCTGCTGTCCTCGACCGCCTGAATCCGGAGAATCCATTCGGCATATTGGGTGATCGGGGATAACGGGTCGGGCTTTGGTGGGGGGGCTCGGGGGGTTTAAATGCGGGTTATTTAGGTCTGTCGGTGTGCCGTACAGTGCTCTGCCTTGAGAGCAACGGGTCGTGTTTGCCAAACTGTTCGACAAAGGCATTTGAAATGAAATGTTGTTGTGCGCCGTGCGAGGAACCGCTAAAGATCGATCTTATAGGGCCCATTACTTCACTAAGAGCAATTTTTTGAACTCGGAGGAGGGTAAATGGGGGGATTATAGTTTGGTGGTAGGAGGTTTGTTTGTTTTGAGGTTTACTACTTGAAAAACATTTTGCTATTCTCACTGTTTGTGGTGTGATTTGTGCGCTTGTTGGTGATTTTCTCGTGGTGTTTTGGTGAGTTTTTAGAGTGATTCGAGTAAGGTATCTGGCTGGTGCTATTACGTGCGGTGTGGAGGCTGGTATGGTGATTTACGTTTTTGACATCCCTGGGGGGGGCTCGAAGGGGGTCCACCCAACAGGAGGCTAGAACCTGCTCCCTGTTGTGTGGTTGAGAGAAGGGATAGAAAGTCTATAGTTAATTGCCCGATGGCAAAAGATATCAGAAAAAGGAGCAATCGTGCAAACGTTCGAGCATCATGGCTCCTTTCCCGTGCGTGAATCCTCCCCCCGCTGCCAGAAAAAGAAAGAAAAACAAGAGTCCCTCAGGTTGTCGGCAATATCTCCAATCTCAATCTCAATCTCAACCTCTTCTGTCTTTCCATGATATACTTTGGCTCCAATACCATCCAGGAATCAGCTAGCAAGGAGTAGATTGATACGCTTTCGGGAAAAGAAAGTATAAACACCAACCACTACCTACTGATGGAAAGACCCCCCTCATATCATAGTTATGGGAACAAGATACTCGCAACAGCAGTATCAGCAATGAAGAGGGCACCGTGAGTCCAGCCATGCAAAGGATACAAGTATCATACATAAAGTACAGCAGAAGAACTCTGCAAGTGACATTCACGACGGGCGACCCAGCTCGCAAGTCCTTGGCCACAACGGTTAAGTTATTCGGAATTACTGACTGGGTAAGTTGCTGTTCTTGCTAATGTTCGAATAAGTTATGGTATTTGTAAACAGCTGTACTCGTACAAGGTGCCGTAATTCACAGCTGCGAGGTAGAATTACCGAAAAAACGATATCTCGCATGGTAAAAAAATCCGATGGAGGGGTTTATTGTTACGAAAGGACAATAAGGTGAAGCCGTATTCGTTGACTCAGTAAAGAAGAAGAGTTGTATATGAAAGACAAAGGACAGACAAGAAAGAGGGATCGGTTACTTCATGAGAAAGCAAATCTTGAAAACGCAAGTATACGTAATGCATCACTAAGCGGTGCACATTCTAATATTTGTTGGTGTCGTTTTCGTTTTGCCATGGGGGTTTGTGTTGTAAGGACTGCTGACGAGTTGAGTTCTTCCCTTTAGCAACTGGTCGATTTTGATGGCCGGTGGGGCGGCGTCTGTTAAAGTACAGTAGATATTTCGAGAATGGTTGGGCGAGGACTTGAAGATGGGGATATAGCGTTGTGTGTAGGATGGGACGTGGTACCGGGGGGAGGTAACTTGGATTCAGAATATAAGATCTTGTGCGGAATGTCGTGGATTAATCGTTTCTCTAAGAACCTAAATTGTGGGATTTTTTTTTTCCACCTCTAAGTTACAGGTAATGTGTGAACACCAATCTCCCTTTCTCCCCCCTTACACCTACATACACTGGGATCTGAAGTTTTCTGTTTTCCGCACTGGCCCGATTTAACTGTGCCTTGTGAATTCGGGGGATATTGCACCCTATCGTGCGCTATGTGGACTTACAATCCGGGTCGTTGGAAATATCGCTTCAATGCGATGGAAGTATGCTGAGCGCGGGACATTGGGACTGGGATTACTGAATATACGTACATCCTACTTGTATTGGTGCTAATTTAATGAATGTGGTGGTAGGCATAGAAGAACAAGCGGGGGAAATCATTGCTTTCTCCTATTATGATAATACCTACCAATACTTTCTACCTTCCCACAAGTCTGTAAGTACTTGTCTTCGGTTTCTCGTCTGTCATCACCCTTGACCGGCAACACAATTCCTAAACTCAGACAAGTGATGGTCTGTAATGGAGTCGTGAACCAATCAAGGAAAGTGTGGTGGTAGCTAGATAGGCTGTCTGTTTGGAGATAACGGTCCTCAAGTGTAGATGTGTGTATGAGTAGGCTGAAACGGAGTAATAAAATATGGGGTACGGTATCATAGATTATGGTACTGTACAGTACTGTACTCAAGTAGAGTGTGTGCAGCAACATACCGCGGCGCGGTACTAGGCTGCGGTACTAGTACTGTAGACACGGGGGGGATGTTGGCACAACTTTGGAGGGGATTGATTGGACGGTCCTGAGGTATTCCTGAGGTTCCACAAAAGGCTCCGCTTTTCTTCAGCCTCAAGGGATTCTTCTAGCACAGTACTTCGTACGGTACCGTAGCCGACCAAATCCATCATCCATCATCATCGGCAATATCCTGAACAGCCAACAAACAGAAAATGCCTCAATCATACAACAATAATACCAACTCCTGGAACACGACCGTTAACGTGTCGAACACGGCTATCACGAATAACCTAGTTGTTGCCGATGACCGACCTGATATCTTATCCTGGTTATCCCCGCTAGATCCCAAGTTGCGACACCAGGATATCCAAGCTCGCCGTGTGGAAAATATAGGGGAATGGCTCTTTCAGACTGAGGAGTTTAGAAGCTGGTACGCCGGTAGCGAGGGAGGCGGATCCGATAACGCAGTTTTGTTTTGCTATGGAGATCCGGGCGTGGGCAAGACATATATCAGGTAGCAAGGAACCTCAAAGAATAGAAGAAAAAGGGCAAACGCTGACGGGCCGCGATGTTAGCTCATTGGTGATAGACAGGTTATGTGATCATGCTGAAGCGCAAAATACCGCCGTTGCGTGTTTTTACTTCGACTTCGCCGCTCAAAAGGAGCAGTCACTTACGGGCATGCTGGGCGCCCTACTAAAACAATTGGTTTGCGGACTAG